CAGAAAGCTTCAAGAAAAGAGAACTTCCTAAATTAAAAAAATCGCAGTGGACATTTCAGTCGTGCAGTCTTATTAACCTAAATGGGGTTAGTCAGAATTCACTGCAGTGCTGGAGTTAAGGGAGTGGACTCTGGGTGGACAGGCCTGGGTCAGTGTCCTGATCCACATTCAGTGGGTCTGTGACCCAGGCAAGCTCCTTCACCTCACCTGTGAAGTGGGGACGTAACAAAACCCCATGCTGAGCAACATTGGGAGGAGTCCTCGTGCGGTAACGCACAGAAAAACTCCACACTGTTCTGGGCACACAGGGGTGCTTTATTAATGCTAGCTGCTATTATTATTCTTATATCACCAATATTGCTTTTTTTGGGGAAGATCTCCTTTGCATCTTAAATAAATCTTCAAGGTACAAGGAAGGTCCAGAGAATAGATCAAATCATCCTCATGTTCCCATGGCCAGAAGATTGACTCATTTACTCATCACATATTGATGGAGCATTTACTATGTCCTAGATCCCACGTTAGGCACTGGGGTACCGCAGTTGTTCGATGAAGCATGACTGTTACGAGTCACAGTATTAGGTAAATGTCAAATAATTATGTGGCAGGAGAGTGAAAGGATTCCTCTCCTGCTGGCGAAGCACAGGCAGCCAGAAACCCCTCTCTCCAGTCCACTGTGAGGAGCCCTGAGATTTCTGTAAATTCTTTACTAGTAATTTGGATATTACAGCTATAAAATAAGCATCTGCTACCTATTTATATGTAAGGGGAGATTAATCAATGCTCATAAAAGAATATCCTGTGTGGCTTTGTCATAAAAAAGGTATAAGGATGTCATTTTTATGACTCTGGCAACTCCAAAAACCCTTCTGAATGCCTTTCTTACTCAAAATCTAGATAAACTGCAAGAGAGGTCTACAGGCCTGAAGAGAGTGGTCATTATTATTCCATTTTGGAGCTGGTAAGCATGAATAATTGAAGGGTCATATCTGTAAAGGAACAAATGTCAAAAACAAATTGACAACTATTCTTCGAGCCAAGTATGGTTCATTTTCAAAAGGTCAGTTTGGTAGTTTTCTCGAGTAAGTTCTGAAATCTTAACTTCCCAGTTTCACATTTCACACGAGTTCCAGGAAAACACATTTTAGGAAGTGTTAAGGGCACCTATGCCCACGGTAGTTGGTATTCAGCAAGTATATTCCAGCCCAGGAGGAACTGTGAAGAGCTCACTGGTTCCCCATCCGGCTGGGTGGCAGAGGTCCAAGCGCAGTGCCGTTCCCGCTGGCTGGCCGGCTCTGCTGGAGACGGGGCTGTTCACTTGAAGGTGGCATTCAGCCGAGCAGAAATTGTGGCTGTGACACAAACTCCTACTGAATACAGTAGGGACAGGAACCTCTGACTCAAGGGGCCACATAAAGCTCATGCACTTACTTTTGTATGCCTGAGGCAAGTTTGCTAGAATTATGTATCGGTCAGGCTGTTAAAATGCAGTTATACCCCCAGCTGCACAAACGCATCGTGGCCTCTCCATCTCTGATAGAGACGTGGTGGTTCATCGCTGCCCCAAGTCCCAGTGTACCATGGAAGATGGGATAACAATAGCACCCACGCCTCAGTAGGCCACTGTGAGGATTCAAGTCCTCGTACAGGCTCAGAACACAGGAAGATGAAATAAAACATATTGCTGTTTTTATCCTAGAAGTCTGAAGACGGGAGATCACCCTTCCCACATGAACCATGTTCACATCCCAGCGAAACCGTTCTGCAGAAAGGGCACTGAAGTAGAGGAAGCCTGGGTCCTGGCCCTAGCTGGGCTCTGACTGGGCATTTGCCCTTGAGCGAGTCAATTTGCCTCTTTAGGCAAATTGAGGGGGTTGGATGACATCGGTGTTTTTAACCAGTTTATCAGAGCCCAGGGGAGAATTCTGAGATCCTAACCTGCCCTTTCGTCAGAGCTGTTCTGCTTTCATCTCTTCTATACATTGAGATTCCATATAAGATTTTATTTGAAAGAACAGTTGTCACTGCTTATAAATAAAGTTTAAGAGCCACTGCATAAGGTGGTTTATAATTCTTCCATTGCTAAAATGTATGGGTCTAAGTTCAATACTCTCAAGGTTGAATTTTAGAAATATATCAAATATACCAAAAAATTGGAATGGGTGGGGACCAAAAGTCAGATTTCAATGAATTGCTCTACTTTTCCCCCCAAGGTTGTAATAAGAAATGGCCAGTTAAGAAATATTTCCCACCCTCCTTCCCTCCCTGTCTCCCTTCTTATCTTCTTTCCAATGAAAATTTAGAGAATCTAATATATGCCAGAACTTGCACAGGGTTCCAGGAATCCAGGAGTGAGCAAACTGACAAAGTCTCTGCTCTTAAAAACTCACAGCCAGCTTAGGAAGAGAGACAGTAAACAAGTAAACAAATCGAGATTTACAAACTGTGAAAGGTATGAAGAAAATGTTAGAGGGCGAAGTGAAGAGAACACAGTGGGCAGGAGGCTTGCCTACTTAGGTAAGACTGCCTATGAAGGCCTTTAAGGAGACAGGCTACCTGCAAACACCCGGGCCCTACAGTCCTACCACCCACTGACAGTGTCCTTCATTCAGCTTATTCACTCCCTTGGCCTTGCCCCAGGTGTGGTCAGCTGTGGCTACCAGTCATTTCTAACAAGCGTGGGTGGGAAGAGGAGGCAGGTCCAGGGCTGAAACAGGTGACCAGAGGTCTCCTTTATTTCTCAATTAAACTGCCCAAACGGATGCTTTTTTGGAGCAATTAGCCACTTGGCCCTTGAGATGTTTTGTTTTTCCTATATATCAGAAACTCTCAATGAAAAAACAATGTTTCATTTCCTGGTTTTTGAGTAGGTAATCTATTTACCTGGTTCAAAAACCCACAAAGCATAAACATATAGTGGCTGGGCTCTGAGGCTGGCTGCTCTTGGGTTCAAATCTTAGTAGTTGTCACACACTTAGTAGTTGTGTGACCTTGGGCAAGTTTTTTAAGAAGTTGTGCCTCAGTGTCCTCAGTTGTAACACTCACACACACACACACACACACACACACACACACACACACAAACTCGTATACAACACACAAACGGTAGTCCTCCTGGTGGTGTTGTGAGGGCTGAAAGTGATGACTTAGAGCAGTGTCTGGCACACAGTAAGCGCCGAATGAATGGAGCTGTGCGACAGGAACCCAGGAAAAGTCCCAGGCTGCCCACAGCCTTGCCTCCTTCCCCTTCTAATGATAGAAACTGGGAACTTGAGCTCATTGTTTTTCTTTGACAAATACTTTATGAGAACAGATGGAAACACAGTATCAGTATATTGGTAAGTATTGACCGTGCTATGCTGTCTAAAACTATGCCACAAACACACAAAGATTAACCAAATAGGAAACCCTAGTTTTTCATGGAATTAACTACAAACCACCCAGGCATATCAGAAAAGGGGAAGGTGAGCAAATAGGAAATACTAGTTTTTGATGGCATTAATCAACTACAAACCACCCAAGTATATGAGAAAAGGGCCAGGGAGGGACAGCTGATAAAAATCTAGGGTGACAGAGAGAAGGCATGTCTGATCTGGTTAACACTGGCCAGGACCTTTCTACAATCCTCAGAATTTTATTTCTTAATTTGCCCTCAATCAAGTTCTGTTTACCTTCAACATAACTGAGCTCCTGCTGTCAGACCTGGGCTTGGCAATGGTGACTTTAAGACATCCTTTCAGCCACTTATCACTAGCATATATCTTGGGTGCCTTTGCTCAAGGACCACGTGCTCAGTTCCTGTGGCTTATTTAGGACACTTAACATAACATATTACTTGCTGCCTCACAGCAAGGTCTCCTCCTGACAGCCAAGATTCTATTTTTCTGTCATAAGTAATTATAAATGTACACCTCTAAAAAGATTCCCAATTTGAGGGGCATAATCTATTTCAGATAGTAAATCACAGAGACGTCTCCATCCCTCGGGCGGCCAAAACGTACAACTCAGATGTATGAGCTCTTTCTGAATTCTCCACACCTGAAGAAAAATGGGACGCTACACTTTTTTCCCTGGGGCAGTTAGGAAAAAAAACAAAAAAACCCAAAAAACCTGGCACTTTTGTTGGAGTAATTTATATTGGTTTTACTTGCACTTTTTTTAAGCTTCAGATATAGCATTTCCATCTTCAAAATGCAACCCAGAAAACTGTCTCAGAGAGTCTCACTCTGAGGTTATTTGTCACTCCAATTATGCACTTGAGATTACTCCCCGCCCTTGTCATCTCAACCCGTTTCCACCAGAGATGCTTTTATGTTCCTCCTGCATGCAAGTTCCCTGCTCACGACCAGGGACTAACAGTTCATCTTCATGGCTTGTGCCAACAAAGGGAACCCCAGGCAAATTTTCATCCCTGCATCCTTCCAATTTTTCTATTACTAGTACCTAGCGTAGCTATGTGACAGCCTTCATTTTAATGAAAAGGTCGTATCTCTGTATTAATGAAAACAGGTGATGTCGGAATACTGGGTCTGCTTTATAATAATGCCAACAGCTGGTATTTGGCAGGCGTTATTCTAAGTGCTTCATATACAGTACCTCATTGAATCTTCACAAGAAATGATCAGGTGGGCACTATCTATTACTTGTATTATGTTACAGATGCAGTAATCAAAATTCATAAAGGTCACACAGTGGGAACTGGCAGAGCTGGAATTCAGATGAAGGCCAATTTGACGCCAAAGCCATTCTCTTATGCCTTAAACTATTCTTTGTCCTAGTATTAACCTTTAGAAGAACAAGGACAATTTCTGTCTCATATTCTTTTTAGTTGTAAAGAACCCATCATCCTAAAAAATGAGGCACAGGTTACCTCATTTTGGGTGCGTAAGCCTAAATGATCAGCACTTAATGAAAACAGTGGCATCTCAAAGTGACTGATCCTCTCTATTTATAGTAACTTATTTTTATTGTTTTTTGCATAGCATTTTTCATATTCCCACCTTGAGCGCTCGAGCTTCCAGGGGAATCTGGATGCTGCTCGGCTGGCTGTTGACTGGCAGGAACGATTGGTGGGCTCAGCATGTTTAACCAGTCCCTGAAAAGAAAAGAAAGTGAATGAACAACGTGTCTGTAATTCCATAGATAGATTTTACGTTTCCCCTGGATTTTCAGTTCGCTTCCACAAAGAAACATTTTTCCTCTTTCATATTTCAGAAAGAAAGATGTCCAGATATTAATACCCAGTTTTGTAAATTGGTTAATATGGAGTCAACCACTTAACTAACCAGTTGTTTGATAAACACATCAACTAAATGACGACTATTCCTCTCAAAAGTTTACTATTGTTCCTATTAAATCGTAGCACAGTTCTTCTCACATAAAAAATTATTTCAATAGCTCAGAAGAAATGCAGCAGAGACAAAGCCCCTTATGATCATCAGGTAAGGAAGCCTGACAAAATCACAAGCCACATGCCATGGATGACAACACTCCGCAGTGACTCAGAACAGAAGTTAGGCTAGCAGCTGTCACGGAACCACTGCAATGGTGGGAGTCAGCCCAATGGTGGGTGTATTAACTCAGGGCTTTCAGGCAGCAGAAAGCAAGAGGAGGAGGAGTGAGGGCAGCCGGGTCCTTGAGTGGGCGACTCACTGATGCAGTTCTGCCATTGAGTGGGGCAAAACTGCTCCAGAAAGCACCTCCTACCTTCCCTGCCCCGCCGCCTCAAACTTCCAACCTCATTCCTCAATCTCTTTACTTTCCTTCCTCCTCCACTCTTTCCCAGTCTCCTGCTCCCTCTAGTAGATACCTGGGTGGGTACAACTCAAGCCAGTGACATCCAGAAGGCATGAGTCACTATGTGTTCTACTTCAAGCTTATCTCATCTCTAAACTTGCTACTGAGCTTCTTGAGTGGAAGGGAGGAGCAGGGAAATATAAAAGATTTTCCAGCGTGAATTCCCTTTCTTGTACTGATATTAGTACCTTGTATTATTTACCTTATTCTTCCCAGCCATGTCCTCATGGCTGAGTAATTTCTTTCTAAATTTCTGTATTTCCTAGTGTCTTTATCTACAATGGGAGACAGATGGTCCCAACCAACAGCTAAGAGCACTGGCTCCCCAGGTCAATACCAGCTCCATGTTTCCCACAGTAAGAAATCGGCCAAGTCACTTAACGTCACTAAGCCTCATCTGTGAAAAGGAGATAATAATAGTGCTTCAAGGTTGGGTGTTAGGATTAAATGGAAAAAAAAATGGGTGAAAAACATTTGGCATGGATCTGGGTACAGCGTTAGCACTTAATAAATTTCAGCTATGACCACCATTGTGTTCATTGTCAATGAAGATCACGGTGTGGCCTTACCTACACTGGTACACCAAGGTGGGAACTGATTTTGTTCGAATTAAACAAGTAAAGGATGGTAGAATGATTACCAGTCTAGATAGTAGAGGTTTTCCTTTCAAGGCATTAACTCTTTCAGTATAAAAAGTACCTTAATGTAAAAATTACCCAATTCCTAGTTGTAATATTTTGAGATACTTTCAGTCACTGCTCACTGTAGCTATCACAAGATTGTGGCTGGTGAAATAAGCAAGGTGAGCATGCTGTGTAATTGAATTTCATAATAACATATTAAGGACATCAGAAAGGGTTTCTCACAGACTTCTAAGCTAATGGAGCATTTTCTGATAAGCACCTTTTATTTAGTCCACTTAATTATAGCAGAACAAAAAATTCTACATTATAGAAATTCTACATTATAAAAAATTACAAGGTCATATACAAATTACCAGCCTAGTGACCTCATTACTCACTAAGAGTGATGGAGCAAGGATGAACAGGAGAAAATAATATCATATGATGACGCCTCCAGCTATACATCAGAAATTCTACATAATGGCAGGAAGAGCTCCTACTCATGGTCAGAAACATACAAAAATGTAGGTGGGATGGTATGAATGTTATGAAAAGCAAGACATTTACTTCTTAGGCTAATGATTTGATTAATGTTTTTCCTTTCAGGAGTAGCTATGAAAAGTACAGGGCTCTTCTTTTTGTGATTAAAATTTTTTTTTAGATTTATAGAAAAGTTGCAAGAAGAATATAAAGAACTGTATATCCTTCACCCAGGTTCCCCAATTTTAACATTTTATGATATTTTCTTTCTATCTCCAAATCTGTCTACCTATCTACCTACACATCTGTCTAAACAGGGGTCAGCAAACTATGACCTATGGACCAAGTCTTACTCACTGACTCTTTTTGTACAGCCTGAAAACTAAGAATGATGTTTGCATTTTTAAATGGTTAAAAAATTAAAATTATGTTTCATGACATATGAAAATTATATGAAAGTCAAGTTTTAGTGTCCATCAATAAAGTTTTATTGGAATATAGCCATGCTCATTTGTTTATGTATTGTCTATGACTGCTTTTGTGCTACAGTGACACAGTTAAGTGTTTATTATCTGGTTTATTACTGAAAATGTTTCACGATCCCTGATCCATAACCATAGAGTCCTCATATTGATTCCTCTAATACTAGTTCAATACCACAGGTTCATTCTCATCTTTCATCTTCCTGTAGGTGAGGGACCTGGTTCCCATTATCCTCAGTATTTTTACTTATTTCCTGAATTATAGAATATTCCAGAAGTAGTTTGAGAATTGCAAAGCAAAATAAAGCAAACAAACAACTTACACCCCAAACCTATTTGCTAGAGTTCTCTATTTGTTTACAGTTACTTTTCTTCTTTAGTTAAAACACTTTGCTCACAATTGACTTGGATTAGTTCTTTCTTCCCCCTTCTTCAGTGTGATTATAATTATTCACTTGAAATATAGTTAGAGTCATCTACTTCTGTTTGTATTACATTTTAGGGTTTTTTCTCCATTCTTGTTGATTTTATTACTTTTGTTATTGCTGAGTACACAAAACATTAACAATTAAAAGTCAAAACCCCACTGAGAGGCATACTCAGGTAAGAGGCACATCCTCCCACCCCTTCCAGTCTGTCCCCATCCCCTCATCACTGCCACTCCACCCCACCCACCCTCCAGAGGTAATAAATTTCATAAGTTCTGATATCATCCTTCTGTGTTTTGTTTTGCAAAAACAAACATACATGTCTATTTCTTTATTCCCCTTCTTTCTTATGTAAAAGGTAGCATACTACAGTTACTCTTTTGTACTTTTGTCTTTTCAGCTTACAATATATCCTGGAAATCACTCCATACCAGTTCATAGATTCCTCACTCTTTTTTTTTTTTTTTTACAGCTGCACAATACTTTACCATATGTGTGTACCACCATTTATTTCACCATTCCCCTATGTTTGGGCATGTTTTCAATATTTTGGAATTGCAATTAACACTTCAATGAAGAACCTTAGGCATATCTATTTTTGTATACTTGGAGGTACATCTTGAAAAAGTAAATTGCTAAAGTGGGACTTCAGGAACAAAAGGCAAATGCATACTTGGTTTTGTTAGATATTGACAAATTCCCTTCACAAGGGTTGTACCCATCTGCATTTTCACCAGCAATGCATAAGAATGCTGGTTTCCCTAGAGCAATGTCACAAGAATATGTTGTCAAGTATTTGAATACTTTCTGATCTGAGAGGTGAGAACGAGTACTTTAAAGTAGGTTTGATTTGCATTAATTCTCATTACAAGTAGAGTCAAGTGAATTTTCATATATTTAAGGCCATTTATGTAATATATATGTATATGCATATATTATATATATATGTTTGTTCACATCTTTTGCTCTTTTTTCTATCAGATTTTTGGTCTCTTTCCCTTATCTTGTCATTTGTCGTTGCTTATGGTGATTTTTGCCATGGTGTTTTTTATTTTTATGTAGTCAAATGTATCAGTCTTTGTGTGTGTGTGTGTGTGTGTGTGTTTGTATTTTGGGCCATAGTTTGAAAGTCTTTCTCTAAAACCAGGTTCTATAGAAATTTACCAAGTTTTCTTCTAGTTACTTGCATGGCTTCATTTTTTACGTTTAGATTTATGATCCACTAGGAGTTTATTTTAGTATATGGTGTGAGTTTATTTTGGTAAAATGTACATCTAATTTTATCTTTTTAAAATAGCTACAGGGTTCTTGTGACAGGTAATATTATTTTAACATAGATTTAGAAGACTTTTAATCAATTAAGAAATTTTTAATCAAAGCAACTCATTTGTTTAGCTTTTTACTAAGTAAGCATTTACAAAGTATAATTTTAAAAAGGTTCCCATGTTACCTAAAATATGGAAAGCTTCTAGGCTAAGCAAAATCAACCAAGACCTTTTCTTGCAGGACTTTTCAGAACCTCTAAAACACTGTGAATCCTTGAAGAGGAGCATAGAATATATAGCACTGCCCAAATTTATGCATCTGGAACTGTTATTCTCTCCACAGAACACATCTTGAGAAATGCTGCTCCAGGTTATACCATTTTCCCACACTGGTGGTATTTTTTTGTTTTGTTTTTTTATTTTACTTTATATGTACTTAATAATTTCATTTTTTAAGGGCATCCTGTTTTTGGTGACTTGTTAATAAGCAGAAATGCGTAGGCTAGCACCTGTATCTTACATGTGTACATGTTTATATGCGACAGTTAATGCTAATGCATTGTCTTAACTCTTGATCAACTCCTTTCAACCTCCATGGCTTTCCCCACGCAAGCAGCAAACATTGAATAAATGGGGAGTTCTAGCTCAGGCTCACTCACAACATGCCATTCCTAGTTTTAGCTCTGAACCAGTTCCTTGACCTGCCTCTTACTCCAGCTACCTCTGCTCCAGAATCTGTTCTTGCTCTTTGTTCTACCACTTTCATACCTGTCTTGTCCTTCGGACTTGAAACTCTGGTTGGTTTCCTCAGCTCTGACTAGAATCCTTTTATCCCAAGGACTGACTCTACGCCTCTCTTACGAAAAGCCTCCAGCTCCTTCGGTGGACAAATATCCTCTTTGGTCAGGCCTGCTCTCCGAGCATGTGCAGGAGCTTCCTCTTTCTCTTCCTTCCTCTTGAGGTCTCAGGCCTGCCTCTGCCATCCCTACCTCCCTTCTTGAAATTGGAGAGGGCTCATAGG